AGAGCTAGCTCCAAGGTGGCTCTGAGGGTTTAAGTTTGGTGTACTGACAGAGCTGTATAATTACAGAGATAAAGAATGGGTAAAGAATACATAATTTGGGGCAAAATTTCAGTGGCTCTGTCCAACAGACAGTTGGTAGTACAGTCTTATCCAGTTTCATTATGAGATGGGTTGAGTGGAGAGGTAAATATTGGGAAGAGAGAACAAAGTGCCTATTGAGATTAAGAGTGTAGATAAATTCTCCGTGGGAGAAAATGTACAGTTGGATTAAAAGATGGCTAATAAAATGATGGAATACCCACATTGACCACACAGGGAGGAGCAGAAGGAGGAAGAGGAAGAAAAGGAAGAAGAGTATCTGGCCACACACAGAGGATTATTTGGGGACAGATACAGGCACACTCATGTCTGAAGGAGGGACTGTCTAGCCATGCCTAATACTTCAGTGAGCTTTGAGGGGGGAAAAAAAGAAGAGAGGGTGAAAAAAGGGCCATTGGGTTTGGCAGTGTTTGGGAGCAGTAATCAGTTGGGATACAGGAATGGAGGGACTTGCAGAAGGAATGAGTGTCAGGGCAGTGGATTCAAGGCAGTTGACCACTCATTTAACAAGTTTAGCAACTGAAAAGGAAAGGCAGCTAATGAGTTTGTTAGAATGACTAGTTGGCAAGAGAAGAAATTTTTCCCCCAAGACTGGTGTTTTTTGTTAGTATGTTGGTACAGGACAGACAGAAAAGGACTTACTGCGAATCTAATTCTTTTGTAAAAGGGGAAGACAACTAACTTCTTCAAAGAGAATGTGAGAAGAAACTAATTCAAATGATCATTGAGTGCTCCAGGATAAATACAGTAGCAGTAGTGTGTGTGTTAATCAGGTGTGACTTATTAAGTCTACAGTTTCTTCTCAGTGAAATTATTTTGTATGCTTAAGTGCAGCTGTTAATGAATTAATAATTATGATTTATATAAAATGAAGTAATTGCCTCTGTTGCTCCTGTGGTAGCCATTATTAGAAGAACCTAGTCTCAGTCATTTTCAGGGGGAATCAAAACATGTCCTGTCTGAGAAATCATTTGCTTTGATAAGCCTGTAGCTTGTACAGGGTGGAGAGGACCTGTGTGTACATTCTGTATACCATCTAGCTTCTGTGCTTTTCAAATACTGCACCACATTCAATCCTAGTTTACATACAAGGCAAAAAATGCTCAGACCTCAAATCCAAAATGCTTTGAAAGCCCAAGGGACTTTTTGTAACTTGTTTGTTAGTAAAACCTGAAACTGACAGGAAGCAACTTAGAGCCTTTGTTTATCCTTCTTAGTGTGAGTATTGGAATGTTTTGGAGCAGACATCTGTAATAGGAGCTACATAGGAGGCGGAGATCAGGAAGATAGTGGTTAGCAAAACAACTCATTTCAGCAAACAAGTTGGGTGTTGCAGTTTGCATCCTCAATCCAATCCAAGGTACAAGGGAGGCACAGATTGGGGAATCTGGTCTCAGACCAAGTCAAACAAAAAATGTGAGACCCTACCTAAAAAGTAAATGTGCTGGGAGTGTGTGTGGCTCAAATGGTAGAGCACTTGTCTAGCATGCATGAGACCCTGAGTTCAAATCCAGTACAACTTCCCAAAAATGTTTTGTGGCACAAGTATTAATGTCTTTTATTACTGGGTGCTTCCAGCCTATGTTGATGAGGGCATCATGTACTCCATGATATGTGTGCAGTACAGCCTTCTGAAGTCCAGCACATCCTGGAGGCTGAGGCTCAAAATTACATAGTAAGTCAGTCGCGGCCCTGAGCTTTGTTCATGGCTTTCTAGTTCTGAAGATGATTTCCTTCCTACTCTATCATTCTGTCTGAATTTGTAGATCAGAGATTCATTGTATATGTATAGATTTTGTTTTAATTGCACTAAAATGTTCCTGGGATTTGGTTTTCTTCAGGTATGGGGAGACCTACAGACAGAGAAATAGTGGTCATGAAGGAAGATGTTGATCTAGATGCCTAAAATAGCAGGCCTAGTGTCACATGCAGAAAAGCACTTAGCAATCAGAGGCAGAGGAGGTTGCACCAAAGTCTTTATTGTGGTTTTCATGGCAGGGGAGTGGGAGGCAGGGTGGGCAAGTTCAACATTGGATAGTGTGAACCATTTTGGCAGCTTTTGGCCACAGAGCTAGACTCCAGAGGTCAGGTGCCTGGCCTAGGGTGGTTATGACAGATGATATTGCCTCTTGGAGTGTAAAAGCCAAGATGGAGAAAGTGGTCAGAAAGTAGGCTCTAAATTAGTTTGTATGGCAAAGACTTGCTCACAGGCAAGTGTTTGCTGCCTCCAGGAATTATCTACCCCTAGGAGGGTAGCCACTCCAGGATTAGCAAGGCACAAAATATCAAAGCATCTTAAAAACAGGACGTGAAATAGATGGTTCTTCCAGGTGTATGCATGAAGTCTGTGTGGGCGCTGTTGCCTTGGAGCAAATATTTGTATTTAGGGTAACGATTTTCACTGTTTGATGAAAGCAATCATAACCCTTAGATACATACATCAGAGGGCAGATTTAGTTATTAATTTGAGTTCATAGAAATTAACTATATTTTCATTCTTTCCTTTTTTGTCTGTATAAGCTTTGTATTCCATTATATATGTTGGAAAAAAATGTTAGTAACAGTTTGTGTCTGTGATACAGTACACTACCTTTTAGAATAAACCTATTGGAACTTAGATATCCAAATGAAGTTCTCCCCATCAGAGCTGTTTCCCGAGGACCAGTTTTTCCAAATATGTTATCATTGCTCTTTCTGTTCCTTTTTGTTGTCATTGTTGTTCGATTTATTTTTGTTGGGTCTGTAGATTGTTCTAAAGAATATCTTCGGTGGTAGCTTATTTTCATTGCTTGAGAGGTACTCTGATTTTTGGAAATATAGCCAAATGCACATTAAATATGGGGAAAAGTTGTGTTGATGATGTTATGATTAAAAAACAAAAAGATGTGATGAGAAGATTGTCAGTAATGGGACTTAATTTCCCGGTGGGTCTGAGATTGGCTCTGGCCACAACTCTTGGAAGTAAGGTCTTGCAGTTGCTGGAGGAAAGCCTCATACCTGGATTAAGGGCTCCTGAGGGATTCCTTTGAAAGAGATGGTGCTAATTTTGATGGGTGGGTTCAGATATGCTTGTTTGAAAATTGGCCTCTTTCATGTGTGAAGAAGAGAATTAACTGCAGAGAATTTAAATGGAAATGAAAAATAAAAACTAGTTGAGGTTACAATTGAAGGTTACTTTAAAAAGCACTATAATAAAGGAAATTGACATGTAAGATTATTAGTATGTGAAACAGTTGGATTTTTCATCTTTCAAAATAAGGGTCCAGATGGACCGTTAGGCAGGTATCAAATGGTAGAATAGGTAAGGCAGATATTAGTCAAAATGCTTGTCCTGGGGTGTGTGTGTAGCGTGTATTTGTCTAATGTATAATTTCTAGACTCTTAAGTAAATCTTTTTCAAGTAATGTGAAATTTTCTGCAGGTTGAGTTTAATATGCTTTCCCCTGCTTTATATTCTGGTATCTAAAATTTATTGGTTAACCCCTTTATCCTTCAGTTTTGTATCTGAGGATACCTTTACCAGTCTCAGACTTCTTTGCTCCCATAATTGTTTGTACAAAACTTAACTCAAGCCTTTATGTTTTATTTTTAAATTATTTGTTTAGAGACTTTCTCTTGTTCTACCTCATTTATTCCTGAAGAGCAGGGACTATGATGCTTAAATATCAGTTCAGAAGAGGTTTTTGTTGATGTCAAATGAAGGGATGAATTTGAAAATGGGCTTTGAAGCAAGTAATTTTTTATTAGAAAACATCTTTAATACTGTATGATTCTGGGCTGAGGTCATAGCTCAAGTGCTTCCAAAAACAAATAAACAAAAAAATCCTACAATTTCTTGGGAGGCCTGAAGCTGACTGATGGCCCATTTGGTTCATAAGGCTGGGAGAACACTGTGGAAAGCAATATTAGAGAACCAGTACTCTCTAGAGGCACAATGGAGAAAGCTCAATATTTTTTCCTACAAGTCATTCATAGGAAACTTTGACTTCTAGGTCAACCTCTGATACTTCACCCACCTTAGTTAGGTTGCCCCTCATTCTCTCATCAACCCCAGTATCCCGATTGTCAGCTAAACTCAGATTATACAAATGACTTAAATATTTGTCCAAGTAATGCAGATCTTTTGGGAAAAGAAAATATGGAGTATTTCCAAAGTCACATATAATTTACTTTTACTGTTCTCCTTTATTAATACAAATCATAAGAGTTTGTATTTTTGAAAAATAAAGATTTTTACATTGTGATTATATATGACTACCTGGTATTTGTCACTAAACCCCCAAGTGAATAGAATGCATCTTTATCTAGACAAACTGTATATACACAGACTTTATTGGCAATATACTCTCTTTATTAAAGCTATAATGTGGGCAAGTTGTTGCTTGTGTAAAATCTTTTTTATAGAAGAGTCGTTAATAGTTGGGATATTCTAAGACATGAGCAAAACAAAATAGTATGATGAAGAGGGTCTTCTTGGAAGGAGGGGAAGTTTTGTCATCAGTGTAGCAATCTAAAGCTTATCCTCCATTTGTTCTTATAGAGCAGTTGTATTGCTCTCACCTTTAGTACTCATTTGCTCACCCTCCATGTTAACTGTCATTGATGTCCACAATTTTGTAGCATGGTCTCATTCTTTAAAACCTAAAGACCCAGTTCTAAGGAACAATCCTTGCTGACGTCTTTCCTCTTAATCTTTGCAACAACTGCCCTGGCTATTTAATGTAGTTTAATGTGATCTGTGTTTAGATGGTGCTGAATAGATTTTCAATGAAAGGTGTTAAAGAGCCCTCCTAAGCTAATTATTTACTGAAATCCCATAGGGCTAACACCATGACACTTAATAGCTATGAATATCATAGGGATCCTTAAGCAAAATAATGCTTTTTTTTTTCCGCATTCAGTTCTCTTGCAACTAGCAAGTGATGCTTTGCCAAATGACGTGACCTTGGCTCTTGCTTATCTCCTCGCCTTACCACAGGTAAGTTTACCATTAACAATGAAGAAGAATTTAAAGTATGTAATCAAAAATTCCATAAAGGAGACTTTTGTCAGTAAAACTGTATTATATGTATCATTTCTTCTGATAGTTCTACAGTCGTACTTAATTGTCAATCTTTAAATCCACTTTTATATCATAGGATCTGTCTTGAATTTTCTCCTTGAGTAGGTCTGTTCTGAATTTGAGTTGGAGCTTGAGATGATAGGATAGGAGCTTTGTATCAAAATCCTAGGGTGATTACTAGAAGTGTAATGGATTATAGTGATGTTAATTTCTTTTCGATTGAATTAATTCTGTCATGTCCTTCCTAGGTGCTAGATGCTAACAAGTGCTTTGAAAAGCAGTCTCACTCTGCATTATCTCTCCAGCTGGCAGCATATTACTACAGCCTACAGATCTATGCCCGCCTCACTCCTTGTTTCAGGGACAAATGCCATCCTCTTTACATGGTGAGTCCTCACAGTTTCCAGGTTATTAATGAGTAGAATTGATGCTTTTCTAAAGCAGTCAAAACACCTTCTTCCCTTTTACATGTAGAATGCTTTCCAAGTGGCAGATAGCTCTTGCTGTAGCTGCCTTTACATTTTATTGGTAAAAGGTGGGTTTTAAAATATAGTGTGAATGCTGATTTTCCCCCCTAACATTTTTGGGTGGTTTTTTTGTTTTTGTTTTTGGAGGCACTGTGGTTTGAACTCAGGGCCTTGTACTTTCTCACTAACTTTTCTTTCTTTTTTTTTTTTTTTTTTTATTTTACTAAGTTTTTAGTTAGGAAGGCTGAAGTAATAGGAGAGACTAAATAGAGAACTAGCTTTTAAATTCACTGCCCAAAAGAATGATGAGTGACTAATTTAAGAAAATATGCAACGTAGTTCTTTGAGCAATACTGCACTTTTGATTTTAAGGCAGACATATGAGAGTAGTAATTGTATGGATGGAATTTTGAAACTTGTCACAAGCTTCAGAATATCTCTATTGTGTAGGCACCTAACGGTGGCCTCAGAATCCATGCACCTTGTTTTGTGTTTACTCAGAGCCCTTCAGGTTTACTTATTTAGACTAGTTGTAATGATCAGCACTGGGAAAAGATCTGCTTTTCATTTTGAATTATTTTTAAGAAAATTACCATTTAAGGAGTAGATAATAGATCAGACTGTGTGCACAAATCCAAGATCCAAATTTAGTGAGGCAAGATTCTCCATTCTTTGACCCAAAGCAGACTATAACAAAATAATTTCACATGTATATCATAGTTCTAGTTGACATACCATCTACCAAATCTACGAACTCCAAGTATGTGAAAACGTTCCATTTCTGGTGATAGCCATGGCTCTCATTCTTCAGTTTCTATTGAAAAGAGGAGGGGAATAGATGAATCATCCACAATGCAAGAGCACCATCATTATTAGGTGTGTGTTGCTCTTAGAGTAGTTTTATTATCATGATAATGTTTGACCAAGAAATAGGAATGTTTTCTTATTTCACCTAATTGATGTAAGGTATTTATTTTGGGAAACTTGATAGCTATTGCTTGTTTGTACATTTACTTATTTTACATAAAATTCTTCTAAGAATTTTGTTTTGCATTTATATCTCAGGTATATCTTATGTGAAATAAGAAATATGCATTTATCTGCTATATCATAAATTGAGGGAATGAAATGATTATGTAGAGGGAAATATGGCAAGTTTATTTTATGCTTTTCTTTCATTAGTGCTGAAATGGAACAAATAATCTGCTCTAAAATACATATTTGTTAAGCACAGTGAAGCTGTACTTTGACCAAATATATTATGCCTTCTTATAAAGTTGGTATTTTCCCCCCAAAGTTCAGCTGAGTTCTCAAAATATATTTAACTGGCTTCTCTCATTGACTGGAATGTAAGTGCTGAAATGGGATCCTCTGTCTTTTATTTCAATTGATGTCATCTAGTAAGGTCAGCATGCTTAGCACTGTGATACACCTTTCTTGAATACAGAGGGTTGAAAGGCCATCACTCAGCCAGCTTGTTTATCACTAAACATAGGTGGAGAAACTCATATGTGCAACCCTCTCCCACTGAGCATTGGGATGGGAAGATGAATTTACCCAGCCCCAGTGAGCTCCTGACTTACTCTCCATCTGTATAAGAGAGTTAAATGAGCTATGGATTAGAGTGGATGCAAACAAGATAACTGTAAAACTTTGAGAAAGCCCAGAAACTTGATGCAGAGCACATTTTGAACTGTAGTTTTCAGCTTCATATATGTGTCTCTTTCATCTATTTATCTTTTATTGAGTATCTATTCTGAACAGCATAGGGATTGGCACTGTAGTACAAAGAATAATAAGACTGGATTCCCACCCCTTCACCCCAGTTTCTGTCAACCCACATCTCTGTCCTTTAGTTTTTGGTGTTGTTCCTGTCCCTGTTTTCCTATCAAATTGTCTTTGTCTTTGAAAGTGACCCTTGGAGCTCTCCTGCCTCACCCTCTCCCTTGACCTTTGACTCCTGGTTGTCACACTGTCCACCCATCTGCTCTGTAGCATAGTTCCTGCTCCTGCCACCATTCCCTTTCTGGGCCTAAGAAAGCATAAGGCAGCTTTGCTTGGCTTCATTGTTTCCAGAAGCAGCATTAGATATTGTGGGAACAGAAGCTCCTAGAGTCCGTGGGGTCAGGATAATCTCTCAGCACATGGTTTCTTACCTCTCAGCTGATCCAGACAGGCAGATATGCCCTCCAGTAGCATTAGGGCAGCACAGGGACAGGTCCCAAGTTGACTGGTTCTGCAGGGACCTCTTAACAGATCTGTGAAAAGCACATGGTTGTTACTCTGAAGGAGAAATGAAGAATTACAAAGAATCAAGATTTTTTTTTTCACATCAAGATGCAAAGACATTTGGAAACTCTCCCTGATAAACAGATGTGCCCAGAGAGAGTGGAGAAGAGTCACAGTCTCTCTATTTGTTTTCATCTTCCCCCTCATGTCCTCATCTTAATTCAGTCTTCCATAGTTCTTCCACTAAACTAGTGAGGGAGCCTCTCAAACATACCTGTTTTCACTTTTGTTTCTTTAGTATTTTCCCCACACAGTAGGGGAAATACTGTATTTTCTGCCAGTGTAGTCTTCCTAAATTAGAGATGTGGTCATTCTCCCTGCCTAAAATCTTCTGGTGATTTCCCATTACCCTGGCAAGGTCTGTGCCACCCCCATGTTCTGGCTTCTGTTTCTCCAACTTCATTTTCCTGGCAATAGCCATAACAAGCTATTTATAATTCCTCAAATACCCTGTTTCCCTTCTTCAAGCACATTGTACTCTGCCATGTATACTTTTCCTACCATTTCTTTGCTTAGCTACTGGGTTCAGGCACTACCTCACCTGCAAGCTTTCTGCAGCACTCCCAAGCTGTGTGGACACCCCCCATGTACTTTGTACTGCCCTGTACTCCTCTGTCATGGCACATGTACTGTATTACTGAGAGTTTATATGCTGCTCTTCTCTCTAGATAATGAGCTATTTGAGGATGGTGTCTGTGTTGTATTTATTGGATTTGTCAATGCTTATAGTAGGGCCTGGAATATAAAGGGGAATGAACAAATGTTTTCTGGGTAGACGACTGAGGATTCATGAATAATTTATGCAGTACATACGATATAATTGAAGTGTGTACTTGTGTGTATTCATTGAATACTTGTCACACGACTACTTTGTGACAGATAGTGTTCTGGAAGAAACAGTAGTGAACAAAGAATATAAAACCTTTCCACCCTTTAGGAATTATGTTCTATTGGAGAAAGAGGCACCATAAACATAATAAGTAAATAAATATATACTAAAAGAAAAATAATAGGAAGATAGGAAGTTTTGTGTGTGTGTGTGTGTGTGTGTGTGTGTGTGTGTGTGTGTAGAACTACATAGAATCAGGAGAGGCCCCAATTGAAAAGGTGATCTTTGAGTAAAATCAGAAAGCCATATAGGTATGTTAAGTATGAACTACAGTGTCATACAGAGAGCTGCCAGAAGAGTATCGCAGACAGGAAATAGCAGTACCAAGCCACGGAATTGTCATTGTTCTGTCATATGCACTATGGTATTGTTTTCACAAGGTATGTGAGTTGGTGTTAAAATTTTACTACATAAAATGCAAGGCTTTGAAGGGTTGCCTGACCAGAAGAAAAAGATAGAAAAGCAGTCTGTGACCAGACTGTATTGTAGCCAGGTGGGGGCTCTTCTATCTGGTTAAAAAAGTGTCAGAAAGGGATATGACAGCAACATTCAGCTTAGGAACTTGTTTATAGGAGTCATCAATGACAGTAGAAATATAAAAAGAATCACATAAAGATTCTTTTACATTCATTCTGCCATTTCGACCTTTGAACAATCCCATCTTGCAGAAAAGAGTCTGTTTGGAAAAGATGACTCAGAGGAATGTGGTGACTTGCTCAAGGTTACTCTGGAAGAAAGTGACATCCAGTCACTTTAGAGCTCCTGGTTCTAGGCTTTATCTGCCTCTTATTTGGACATGCTGAAACTCTAGCTTTGTTGCAAAAAAAGTAGTGCCACTCTTTTTTTGGACCTGAGTGATCTCTCTGGCATGCAAGTCATTTCAATAATTCACAACAGGTTATTTTCATGTGCTGCTTTGTGTCTGTTAGGTAAAATCTAAACTCCTGTGTATGACAGATAAGACCCTCAGTGAACAGCTGGCTCTTCTTTACCCCTCCAGACATGTTTCTCGTCACTGCCTCTTTTGAAGTTTATGTTCTAGCTGTTCAGAACTTAGATTTCTTTGAATTAAAAAGCCTTTTGTATGTATCTGTGTGCATTCAGATGTAATCCCCTCCACCAGACTACCTCCTTCTCCCCATTAGGGACAGGTGAGTCTGAGTCCAGAGGTGCCTCCTCATCAGGCAGCCATCCCTGCCTCCTCCACAGATGTCAGCCTCCTTCTCCCAACTCTCTTTGCTCTCTGTGTTACACAAATTGCACACAGTTTTTTCAAGGTGCTGTGGTTGATGCCTATCTTTCTCCTCTCATTGTGGTCACCTTATTTGTGGGTAGGATTCCCATCTCTCCCTGTTTCCCCAGGACCTAACTGACTGTACTACCCAGTGATTCCTAATTGGATGAGAATAAGCTCAGGAATTGTGTAAGGTGCTGTGCATCTGGACACCCTGAAGCTTCAGACTTGTGGTTGTGAGTCCTGCCCCTCTTGGGTTGGAAGACAGTACAAGTAGGCACAATAGCTGAGTGTCTTAAGTACACAAGAGTTTTCCATTGACTACCTAATGGCTCATTATTTGAGTCTTTTCAGCATATTTCTCTATATAAAACAGCACTGCTGAGTTTGGAATTAAATGTGACAAACTCCTGATGAATCATCTTGGAAATTGAAATCAAAGTGGTTTCAATTTGTTGCCTACACATAATAACACCCAGTGAAGCTTAGCTTTCACTCATTTGTCAG